TCCTTGAATCTTTTAAATAGCTCCCCATAAAACTATCTGGGCCTGATTACTTTGGAGAGTGTTATTCTGTGACAATGTTTCCAATTTCTTTAGGGTTCTTGGTCTACTCATTCTTGCCACCCACTTTTGAAACATCTGTAGCAATTTATATTTCCCCGAGTGAAAACAGAGCTTATTTTAAAATAAATAAACATAAAATTGCACATTCTCTCATAATTTTTTTGCACCTATGATTAAATCCTTTTTCTTGTTTGTAAGGTGATGTGTCTCCGTCTTGCTTCTTTTTTCCTTTCTTTAGATCTATTAGCTTTATTTATCTTTGAAAAATAACCTGTCCTAAAGTGAATTCATCAATTACTTCTTCCATTTCAGCGGTGGTCTGCTCCACAAGTGTTTGTTAAATAGGCAGCGAGAGACAATGGGCACCTAGGTGAAGTGCTTCTTAATGTTGGCGGAAAAGGTGAAGAGTACAAAGGGAAAATGTACAAAGCCTCATAATGCACAGGCTGGAGTTGACATATGTCACTTCCACCCATGTGCCATTGGCCAAATCAGTCACAGAGGTCCAAAGTTACTAGGTAGGGAAATACGGTCTGCCCGTGATAAGGCTCTGGCAAAGGTACAGATCCAAGAAAGCTGAAACATTGGAACTAATACTGCCCAAAGGTGGCAATATCTATCACCTTGTTTAAAAGAATCTTTAGACACCAGATACGGCTCAATGGTGTAGATTTTATACCTGTAGGTATAAAGGTGATTGGAATCTAAAAAGGATAAGTAATACCCTTTATTTATAGCTATAGCACTGAATATTATTTGGGATGTATTAAAGGCTGGAAGGCTTAGGCATACCCAGGTCAAAAGCAGTTTATTGAGCAAATCGTTTGGTCAATTCATTGATCCCCCCAAATTTATGGCTTAGAGATTCTATACTACAACCTCCCATGTAGTAGGTGAGGAGAGTAGCCTGGAGAGACCAAAAAAAAAAAAAAAAAAAAAAAAAACAGGCCATAATTACACTGAGTTTTGTCACCTGCTGCTCAGTTTTCTCTGTTCTGCTGGATCCTGTATTTTGGAATTCTGTTCTATAGACTAGCGCTGTCCAAAAGAATTTACCGTGACGATGGGGAAAGTTCTATTTGACACTGTCTGATATGGTAGCCACTAGCCACACAGGGTCTTTGGGTATTTGAAAAGTGGCTAGTGTGGTTGAGGAACTGAATCTCTAATTTTATTTAACTTTATTTAAAATTATGTTTAAATAACCACACGTCTCTGCTGATGCCCACGTTGGACCGAATGTTTGGACTCAGAATGAAGATGCTAAAACCACCCTAATTCAGAGCCTCCTAAGTGGCATATCGGATTTCAAAGGGAACACATCTCAGATAAATAGTACTACCACATTGTTGAGGGAAGTAAGAAGCCCGTATTTGGTCGGGCAAAACAAGTCATGTGGCTGAACTTAAGGGCAATACGGAGTCGGACGTGAAATCCTTCCATAGATCAAAGTCGAGTATATAAGAAATAGAATCTTCCATCTTCCTCTTCCTCCCCTTCTCTTCCTTCAAATGCACTTAATTTGAAGCCTCTTCTTATTTAATTCCTGGTAATTCAGGGCTTCTGTATTCCACGTCTTGGCCATGGCTTGCTTTCTTGTCATCTTCGATCCCAGCAGCAGGAACACCCAGCTCGTTCTGGTACTTTTGTGCACCCTCATGGTATACAAACCCTTGCACATGGCTTGGTGCAGGGAACTCTGGAGCCCCCCAAGGACTGGGGTTTAGGCACTTTGGGCACCCCACAGGATATCCTTACTGCCCCTGTGCCTTCAAAGGCGCAGGGTCTCTGTGAGCTTTGCCACTGCTAGCCTTCCCACGGAAGAAGTGATGCAAAGATCCTGTACTAAAGCTTCGTGATAGAGTTACCTCCAGCCTCCCTGAACCCAACTGAAGTTTTGTTTTGTTTGTTTGTTTGTTTGTTTTGACCATGGGAAGGAGCCAGGAGCAAGTGATCTTCCTTAGAGGTATGCTCTGTGGTAGTCAGCTCAGACTTGATTATGCTGCTGTAACAAATAATCCCCAGACCTCTGACTTACAACCACAAAGGTATTCTTTTTCACCCCCGCTGGATGGTTGTGACTCTGATCCCCAGCAGCCCTTAACGGGGTCATTGCGGGTCGTAAGGCAGACTGGAAAAAGGAGGGGGGAGGATCACACAATGACTCCTACCAATCTGCTCTGGAGTGGCACCAATCACCCTGTGCATATTCTATGTCCAAAGAGAATCGCATGATCGATCTTGACCTCATCGGGAAGGTGAAGTATAATCCCTCTCCATAGGCACAGGCAGCGAAATTTTGAACCATAATCAAATCCGTACAGGTATCCTCTCCTTTTCTTCTCCCTCTCTCCCTTTCCACTCCCCTATCATCATCTTCAACACCTCACAGCCTGGGGATTCTTTATCTAGAAAAGGCAGGACGGTGTGTTCTTCAGACTCAACCATTTTTGGTATAGACTATTAAAGTTCCAAAGCCTATATTCCTGAAACTCAAAGACGCTTTTCTTTAAAAAGCCTATTCTCACACGTGTTTCTGAAGCCTGCTTTGAAAGATCAGATGAGCAGACCTGACACCCCTTTCTCTTCCTTCTGCGCTGTCATCCCGTGCCTGGGTAGGAAGGAAAAAAACATGAGCTGCTTCTCCAGTGGAGGAAAAGCTCATAGGAAATATGTAAAGAAGCCATCCTTTAATTAAAAAAAAAAAAAACAACTCTAGCAGGGTAGGCTGTGTTTGTGGATAAATAGAAAGTTCTCTTTTAGAACTGAAATGTCCCCGGATTGAAGACAGAGACTGACACAATTTTAGAATTGTCTTACAGAGCTCCCTAGTACTCGTGTTGTCCAATAGAGCTTTCTTTTTTTTTTTTTAAGATTTTATTTATTTATTTGAGAGAGAGACAGAGAGAGCACAAGGGAACAGGAGCGGGGAGGAGCTGGAGAAGCCCCAGGCTCCCCACTGAGCAGGGAGCCCATTGCGGGACGTGATCCCAGGACCCTGGGATCATGATCTGAGCGAAAGGCAGATGCTTAACCGACTGAGCCACTCAGGCTCCACCCCCCACCCCCTGGTAAAACTTTCTGAGAGGATAGGAATATTCTATATTAGACTGTCCAATACAGCCCGCGTGGCTATTAGGCACTTATGATGTGGCTAGGATGACGGAGGAATTAAAATTTTAATTTCATTTAATTTTAATTAATTTAAATTTCAATAGCTGCATGCGATTGGTGGCTACTGTATGGGACAGTGCAGTTCTAGATGTTAGAGATAGTGTTGCTAAAAGTCATACAGTGACTTTTAATATCTCTTTTATTTATACATTTAAATACCATGCTGTGTCTTGGTTGTTAAAAATATCTCAAAGTGGACGTAATGTCAGTTCGTATAAAAATGATATTGACATTATAAGCATAGCACAGTTGGTTAAGAGCAAATCATGCCTTCACTTATTAATTGGCTGGAGCTGCCTGACCTAATAAGGAGAGGCTAAATTCACAATTAATTAAAGATCTCATGTTCATTCAGCCAAGACTTGCCTCAAACCATCTTTTGTTCAGCAGGCCAGCAAGATACTTTGAACCATATTTAGGACATCTTGCAACTATAATCAACATATGCAAAATATACCATTGCAAAATAGTTCTTTCATTTATCAGATTAATAATTCTGTTGTAGGAATGGCATTCTGCTCTATTATGCTAACTATAATCATATTTGTAGTAAACGAATATGACATAATGTACTACATAGAAATGTATGTTAATTAGTGGTAATTTAGCAAATAGTTCTCTATCTTTGCTATCTACTGGGCAATATTATTTCTCTATTAGAGATGGGAAAACCAAGGCTTACAGAGATTATGTAATTTTTTCCAAAGGTTATATAATTAGTGTTTAGAAGTCCAATATACGAACTCTTATCTGATCCAAAGCCCCTACCACCTAACTACTTGACGGGGGGGATGATAAAACCTAATTGCAACCACCTATCTTTTTCCTAAGGTCAGGACCCCTTTTCAAGGAACCAACTGATGCCAATGGGAAACTGCTGTGTAGACTGTTCCAGGCCTGCCACAGCTGATGCCCCTTGGTCCCCTGGAGGTGCAAGGGAAATGGGAACAGCTATGAGACTGGAATCTAAGTCATACAAGAAAGTTGTCCCAGTCAGTCTGGTTCCATAGGCACGGTAGTTAACGCTATTCTTACACCCTTCTATTTTGGCTCTGGTTACCTCTTGTGTTTGGTAAAAATTAAGGACGAAACTTCTGGGATGCATGCTATGCTCGGTCAGGACCTGGGCCCGAAGCTTAACTGGGCACCTCAACAAGTATCAGGTGGCCTTATGCAATTTTATGAACCACGTACCCGCCTGCATAAATCTCCTTCCTGTGAATTCAAAACAGCAATGCCTCACATTCCCTTAAAATACAATGGAAGACAGAGGCTCACTTTCCTTCTTTGCTGTTTTTTAAAGCATGGAAACCTTTCCCTTCCTGGAGTGCTACAGTGCAAAACATCCCTCCCCCCCCGCCGCCCGCCGCGCACCTCGGTCCTTGCAAACTTTGCACGCGGAAAGGTGGGCAGCGGGGCGCAGGACTACAAGTCCCAGAATGCACGGCGCCCGCCGCACAGGCGCAGCGGGGACCACCCGGCCAGCCGGCCAGCAGCCTGCGGAGACTCCCGGGTCCCCGCGCCGGAGAGGGGCTGGGGGCAGGCGGCCGGGCGGTCCTGGCCGGCGCCGAGGGCGGCCGCGGGCGTCACCATGCAGGCGCGGCGGCGCGCGTGAGGAGGATGCGGCAGCGGGCGCCGCGGCGGGCGGAGGAGTAGGCGGCGGTGCCCTGGGGAGGGAGCCGCGCGCGCGGGCCAGACGGCTCCCGGAGGCTCCGCAGTGCCGCCGCCGCCGCCCGGGAGGCTCCGCGCGGGAGCCATGTAACCTGCGGCGGGCTCCGGGCTGCTCCGTCCTTGCCCAGCTCCCGGGCCAGCGCGGCAGCGGGGCCACGATGAAGAAGCAGTTCAATCGCATGCGCCAGCTGGCCAACCAGACGGTGGGCAGGTAGGTCCCCCGGTGCGCTCCGGCGAGGCTGCAGCCGCCGGGGCGCGCAGGTGATGGAGCCCGCCCGGCCTCCCGGCCTCCCTTCCCTCCTCCTTCCCTCCCTCCCCGCCGTGCCTGCCCCTGCGCCGTCCCCTCCGAGACTGCTCGCGGGCGCGACCCCTCCTCTCGGAACTTCCCAGCCCCGGGAGCCCTTCCCTGGCTCTGCCCGCTGCGCCCGGGCTCCGGTTGCCAAGCGCAAAGTGTGACGCATCCTTTACCTGCGTCCCCGGCTGCCCCTTCACTCCGTACTCCCTGCCTTTCCCCGGGACTCCCCTCTTGCCTCCCCCCCCCCCCCCCCCCCCCCCCCCCCCCCCCCCCCTTCCCCC